TAAAATAGTTACACGTGTAGGTGTGTATTTTTAAACACTGTTACATAACAGATACAAATTCTTAATGTATAAATAATTTCATAATAAATATCACAATTATACGACTACAATGTAATGGTAACTAAAGTTACATGGATTGTTAATATTGTATGATTTGTAAGTGTTGGTGGGAGAACCGGCTTCCAGGCGCTCGGGGGCCCAGATGCATGCCAATGAGGCGTAGGCGCCGCTCCACATGAATATTATCGACGGTTTCATAATCCACTTCAATTACTCCTAAGCAGAAGTTTGCAGAAACTCGGAGTGTCTAAGTGGCTATAAATAACAGTCTGTTAATAGATAAATGTCGTAAAATAACAAAATATGATTTTTTTATTCATTGTGCGCGTAAATATATTTTTGTGCAACGAATATAAAAATGGATTTTGTTGCTACTACTTTATCACCAGTTCACTTTAGCTATAAATATACAGTAGTATATAAATTGAATTTTCAGTCAGAAATTTAACAATCTCTAAGCCTTTAAAAAATAATTTTCTAAATTACATATGATATATTTGTCTTACCCTATTCTTTATATACATATTTATCCCGCTCTATACAAATATTTTACCTGCTCTAGAAAAGAAGGCCGTTAAAACGTCACGCTTTGACTGGCTAATAACCGGTCACATAATAATTTCTTAGAAAATGATTCAACTAATGGCGCCTGTCATATATTACTAACAACTTCGAGCCTTTACAAGTTAAGAAAACTTGTTCATAAATGTTATAAAATACTAAATGAAAAAGGGAAACCTACCTCAAACCACACAATTATCTAAAAGGCAAGGAAGTTAAGGATAATTACATACATACACTTCTTTTTAAAATTATAAACCACTTTTTATCACTAAATCATCAATTTGTTTTAGGGTAGAACAAATCTCCTAACCCTGAGGCACTTCATATTGATCTTCCTTATACACCTAAATCGAAACACTATGTGCAGGTTGGAAGAGCTTAAAGTCGCATTTTATTATATGTAAAAGTCTCATTATAAATTTCGCCAGATCTTCGTCAACTTTTATTATAAACGTATCACAAAATAAGTTTCATTTATGAATATCAAATCAGTAGACTTGAAAAATCTAATTATTTATAATTTTAAGTAACTAAAAAAGACTGAAGTGGAAGTGGGCTGGTCAAGTCTCCAGGCGTATTTATGGTCGATGGAGCTAACACGTGTTAGAGTGGGGACCACGCTTCGGCAAACGTAGTGTAGGACGCCCTGCGGCAAGGTGGACCGACCATTTGAAAAAGGTGGCAGGTTCGGGATGGATGCAGGCTGCTCAAGATCGGGATGGTTGGCGTTCTATGGGGGAGCAATGGACGGCGATAAGCTATAAAATCTCTCTATATGACTCTCGAAAAAACTCTTACTTATAAGCTCATACGCTTTTTTTACGAAGCTTTTTACGAAGGTTTTACTCCTAGCCGTCCCAGAGAAAAAGAAAAGTTCCACTATCCACCTGCTCTGGTTCCATTATCATGTCAGCTCGATATTAATTTGTAAATACGTACAAACTTTCTAATCGATACGACAATAATAAGTAGGTTTCAATCGACTTATAGGACATGATTACATAGTAAGTTACAGGTGGAAATAATAAAAGCGTGTTAAGAATCACGTATTTGCTGCGAATATTTATTAAATTTTGTCTCAATTTTTTATATAGAAACCTTGATAATATCTTTATTTTTGACAGCTTAAATGAAATTTTACTGTACGGAAATCCGTATTCAAATTTTTACTTGTCACTTTACATGGTAATGCAATAATCAAGATCCTTATACATACATATATAACTAGTGGATCACAAAAAATGATAAGCACTACAGAGTATATTTAGAATAGGTAATAAATTGAGCATAAAAACAACGGCCCTGTGATTCTCGATTACGTTTATTAAGTTGTTAAGACGTTGGTGGCAGTAAGGCAATAAGGTGTAGATGGCCATAAAAGGCTTCTAGTGTAGGCAACGCACGCCGCTCATTATAAACTTATAAACAAGTTAACACAGTGTGTGGGTCTGATTTGCAAATTAGGAAGCCACTCACAATAAAAACTAGCAAATTTCAAAATGATTAGTCATTACTAGGCAACAATTTTTATATGGACTTAACATTATACACTTTCTATCTATTATCCTATTTGAAATGATTATATAAAAATTAATGTAATAATTGAAATAAATTATATATTATCATAATCTATAGGTACATATAATAAAACAGTAACTTAGCGAAATTTTGTATAGTGAAAACTTACTACTCGGATCAACATTTATGATACCTTGTACTACAAAAAAATCTTTTATTTCCACACAATAACTGGTTCTATCGAGACGTTCTTAAAAACTTACATGTCTAAGGGGGTGTCCATTAATCACGTGATCTTTTTTTAGCATTTTTTAACCGCCCCTCCCCCATTGGTGATACGTAGTGAGGTTTAAGACCACCCCCCTCCCCCTTCTCAACATCACGTGTATTTTTAGTACCTACAACGAATCTTAAAATTTTCTGAATATTATCTTAATTTAAATACCTGTATTTATTGTACTGTATTAAACTATAATCTTATTTTATTCTGAAATTAAGGACCATAATAAAAATGTCTACACCAGGTTGCAAGTTTTTTTTTATTGCCATAACAATGATAATAAACGAAGAGTGTAATCATAGGAAAAACATGTATTGTACTAGTACATGAATATATTTAATGTATATTGTCCTCGAACCACGGATTAGCAAGACATTCTTCAACACTAACAATTGGATAAGCGTCTTGCAGGTGTTTGACGAAAAAATAAATACACGAGATATCTTACTACACCCCCCCTTCCCCCTTGTGTTATTTTCGTGATTTTTATCAAACCCCTCCCCCCCCTTTCAAGCCTCACGTGATTAATGGACAACCCCTAACGCTAGCTAAACCTTAAGAGATACATCAAAACAATGTAATAGAAAATTGTAGCTCTTAATAATGCCTATAGAAAAATCTTCTAATGTACACTTGAAATAACTATTCATAGATATATACCTACTAGCGTTTTCCTGCGGCTCCGCCCGCATAGTACATTAATCACCAACATATCATATACTAAAACCTTCTCCAAAACACGCTGCATCCTATGGTATGAGTATTATTCCGATCGGTTCAGTGGTTATCGTAGTATAACCGAAGAAAAAAATCTGTTCTCCATTTATTAGTATAGATATTTAAAACGTACCTAGGGAGGCACCTGTGCGAAGCGAGGGTAAGTCACTAGTCTAGAATAATATAATAATATTTTTCCTATACATACATTCGCTGCCTTGCGAGTATGAACAGATATGTCAATTAATCATGCTAGCAATACCAAAAACTTTAACACAATTAGGTGATATAGCCTTATGAATACATATTTAGTCCGTGTCGGATAACTTCGGCATAATTGTCCTTTAAAGGTCCACTGCATATTATTTAATTCTTCATACATGCTAGGCTAGGCTTCATAGCATGCTAGTTGAGTGCACAGATTACTTTGCCAATATTACCTAGAGAGTTAAATATTTGTTTTTGACTAATTAAAAAGAGGAAACCCAGTTTTCAAATTATCTACAGATTAATTATTGAATATTCTAAAGCAGGGAAGAATATAGAATTTATTTATGTAGTACATAATAATATTCTTATTTTTTCTAAACTAAGTGTATTATTATATAGGTGATCGTTTAAAATTTTCCATTATCATTGCATAAAATTATAAATCATTACTAAAATTCCGGAAATAACATATTATGATAGTTCATATACCACGCCTTAAATAACGACTTGAGTCTGGGTCTTAAATTACGCAAAATTATTTAAGCAAGCACATACATAATATGTTTGTATAACACATTCCATATGTAAAAATATAATTGCCATGAAATAAATATTTTCTCTATTATGAATTCCAAACTAAGAATAGAACCCTCTCGTAAATAATCCCTTGTACATTTCTTTTAAAAATAATTAAAATACACAAAAACATAATATTGTCTATGATTTATTTAACTCCAGTAAAATTGTATGGTATGTGACATACCTTTATACAGACGTAATACTTGGTAGAACACAGCTCTACATATTAATTAAAGATATGTTAATGCTTAGCACATATGCTAGAAAATACTAAGAACTTCTCAAGTACTGGTTAATTAATTAGTATAAATACGTATATCATGGAAAAGCATATAATAAGTAGAAGATAGAAGCGCTGGGGCCTATGTATTTTTAGGTTAATATAGTTAAAATTAGCAATGTACATATGTTATATTATAAAGCTGTGATAAGCCTATTTTTATTATCCTTGTATTAGCATGTCATGTTGGTATGGATAAGTATCAAAAGGTGTCTTTGCTATATTCAGAAATTCCATTTGGATTTTATCTGTTTTGAAACCTTAACTCTTAATACTTTTAACCGCAAATACATTGTTTGGTTCTCCCACACGTCAAGTTTAAGTTTATGGCCGAAAGTGATGTGCACGTAGTGAAAAACATTCCCACCGTCATTTTACGTCACACTACAGAGGCATAGGTACTCACATCTAATTGCGATATTGTATAATTATGTTTTAGAATTAGCGGGTTAATTGTGGAAATGAACAGCTTTTATGTTAAATTAAAATAAATTAATTACTTACATCGTGTGGGAAATTCTAGGCATATTTTATACTTAAACCTTAGGCACTAAAACTAATTTATTATTGCGTATAATAGGTAAACTACTTTTTTCCATATACAATTTTGTGTTTAGTTTCATATAAACCTATTTAAATAAAAAGGCCTATAGGGCATCACTGTGAAGTTTCTTGGTCTATTGTGATCGCCGCATGTTGAGCTAGAATTAACCACTGAATTGCAACTGTAAAACCTACAGGATTTTTTTAGGGGTTACTTATAATATTGGATAGTATCCAATATTAACTCTATTTACAGCCATGTAGGTATTTAAAAAAACCAAGTGCCACACTTCGCTCAAAGCTTAGACCAATTCGCAACCTGTAGAGTTTTGGATAACAAGAATAAAAGTAGCCTACTTCCTTCTCCTTGCTATGCGTGAACTGAATTACGAATAGGTTAATATTCATTATAATAGTATGAGCATTAAAATGTAACAGCATTTAAGTAGGTCCTAGCACCTATAGTATTGTGGCGTCTATGGTTAAAGTGAAATTATAATATTAATAAGTAGATACTAACTGCTGTCTACGAATTCATTCGAATGTGCCTTTATGTATACATTTATTCAGTCTTTAAATATTATGATCTCCGCTTTATATAGAAGGACATAAATGATAGAATGTAGAGCTTAAGCAGTACCTTTTCACCTTGGCTTCTTGTAATGTAAGTTAGCTTTGTATACAATTAAGATAGTTCAGAAAAGTTTAGTTAAACCTATTTGATCTGTGGTTAAACATAAGTCACTAAATCCGTTTTAAGAAGATTTACTTTAAACAGTCAAATCAAAATTTTGAAGTGTTTATTTGGTGACAAATATATGTACACATAACAAAATTTCCCATATACATTATACATACATATAATAATCGTCCGATTGCTATAATTTATACTAAAGTTTTTATGTATATTATTTATAAATTGATAATACCTATAATTTGAACAATAAACATGGATATTTACTCTTGCTGTATACGCTTGAGAAAATAACCTGTATGGAAATCTGGGTAATCTAATGTCATACAACAGTAAAGTACTATTAATGTATGTATTTCTAACGACAGTTTTGGAATAGAACCATGTCAATTACCTTTTCCGCAAAGTATTAAAGGTACTAGTCAATATTCTAAGCTGACATTTTTAAAGACAAAGAAATAGTCCAAATAATAAGGATTGTCCGTTTTGAGATAAGGCCGAGTGCACAATCGCGCTAATCAAAGAAGGATCGGCAGGACTGCGTCGGCGTCAACGCACCGATATGGCGATCACGTTCTTGTTTGCGACGCAATAAAACTTAACAAGGAAATCTGTGTGTGTCACTTTTAAAGGGATAATAGTCGTCGTTTTTGCGCATGCGCAGTACAAACACTGATTTTGACAAATTGATAAAGCAATGGAATAGCAAAGCACTTAAATAATAAACGTGACATGATGATTTACGATGTCATGATTAGAATTTGGGAACGTTGTACTTTATTTATTTTTAAATTTAATTGTTAGCAAAATAAAATAAACGTCAAATTTGTAAACAAATATTCTTTAATTACTTTCTTCTACCAACAGTTCAAATAATTCAGATTAAAAGTAGCATCTTAGTGGTAACAATGTAATTACAAAATCATTTTGCTTTAAAAACCTATACCCAGAACAAAAGTATAAAAAAATTCAAGCTACATACGCCATCTATTGAGAAGTATAAAAACTATATAGTTCTAAATTTTAAATGCAGAGGTCTCAACACTAAATAGTGTAAAGATTCGATAATAGATAGAGCTATTAAATAGCCCGTTTTATATTATTACTTGCAGTAAATATTACTTGGTTTTAGCTGTTAATAAAGTATGTTTTTTATTCAATAGGTATGCAATTATTATATTGAATACATATGTACTAACACATACCAAACAAAAATCTATTAGCACGAACATTAATAGATATGCCAAATAAACGCAAATTGCTAGTGATGCCACCGAAAGACCAATTTGTATTTTCACCGCAGTAATTTTATCGAAGGTAGCTGAAACAAAAATAGGTTATAGTACTTAGTCATATAAAAAATCACTTCGAGACAATTTCTTGGTTCTTTTATATGAAATACCGTACCAAATATTACGGTATTTGCTATGAGATTTAATCACATCGAACTATGCAATAAAAATACACCTAAATAACTTTTGATATAAGAAGGTCAAGTTAACCAAGTAGTACCTACATAAATTACAAAGGTTTTAGTTTGCAGATATGTCAGTACTCAGTAGGTACTTATATACACTTAATTCTTACCAATAATAAAAGTCCAATAAGAATCAGCTAAACCATTTTTCTTAGGTACCTATATCATTCATCCCGCGAGAAAATATTATTTTCAGACATGAAATTTTATTCATCAATAAAAGCCCCATTAAAATACGCTTAATTCCAGACAAAATTTATTTAATGATTGTTTTAAATTATTACCGTTTGATAGCTCTTTTCAACCGACTTCAAAAAGGAGGAGGTTCTCAATTCGACTGTATGTTTTTTTTTTTTTTTTTTTATGTTTGTTACCTCAGAACTCCGTCATTTATTAACCGATTTGGACAATTTTTGTTTTGTTTTTGTTGTGTTGAAAGAGTATACTTCCAGATTGGTCCCATTTAAATTTCAAAAAAAAATACCACCCCTAAGGGTGGAAAAACAACTAATGATGAATTTAACCTACTTCTAATATCATATTGACTTGAAACTTTGCAAGTATTTCTATTTCCGTTGATAGTACAGTGGTTCGGTGTTGTTGACCTGATCTGATGGCAAGGCCAGAAGGTGGATAGGTGGAACTCTTCAACGGCTAATAGTAGATACTTTGAGTTTGGGCTTGTTTTGTTTGATTTGACAAGCCTAACATGTTAGAATCCTTACATTGCTACTACTGTCTACACTAAAAAGGTAAAAATAAAAACTTTTTAACAAAAAAATAAAAACCGACTTCAAACAAAAGCACTAAAAAGTAAAAAATAACTGATTGGTAGTTTTCATTTACTATACATACTTAATCAAATATTTTCGAAGTCGGTGTGCTTTGGCTAAATAATTAAAGCCTACCTATTAAATACATACCTAATCAAATATTTTCGAAATCGGTGCCAGCCCATACAAAGCAAAGCACACCGACTTCGAAAATATTTGATTAAGTATGTATAGTAAATGAAAACTACCAATCAGTTATTTTTTACTTTTTAGTGCTTTTGTTTGAAGTCGGTTTTTATTTTTTTGTTAAAAAGTTTTTATTGTGTTATAGCTATTGAGATATCATTTACATTCATACTTAAGTTATTTCAGTTCAACATTCAATCTACTATTTGCATACTTCTATTGTCTCACTTCTGCTTTTTACTATTGTCACAGTTTTATTATTTTTAATAAGCTTAATAAATTATTTAACGATGTAGAGACCTAATACTACTTAAGTACTTACTGTATGTCTTAATAATATTTATAAAATTATTCATATTCTTTGAGATAAAAAGACGTCAAAGTTCAAACAAAACTTCGTGCATATGACTATAAAAATGCAAATAAAATGTTCTACACAACTTGGTCAATCAATTATTTTGAGCAATCATTTTAAAAGGTCTATGCCAATAGGCACTCATTGAGGTTATCATAATATCAGGTAATTGGGAAGCATAGCAAACAATGCTATCGAATAAAGCGGTTGCCGTTCGATTACCGACAAACTGAAATACAATGGGTGGCTATACAAAATAATCCAACCATTTACGACCATGTTTCGTGGTATTAACAATTTAGCGGAGCAATAAATGCTCACGCAAACTCTCCATAATATATTCAAATAGTGTACGTTTTATTGGTTTAAAATCGTGCCGTGGTTTCGACTTTCGGGTCCGGAATAAATGCAAACTGCATTAATTGACAATTTATATTAACATAACCCGATAACGCGCTCAGTGCTCGTGATTACGCAATATTAAATTGTAAATTAAACATTTTATAATCAAATAATTTATTCCGCTACAAAACATGCAGCTGGTAATTAAGACATCCATATATACAAATTATGTTGTAAAAATGTTTATGTTCATTTGAATTTAAATAATATGTAGGAACTCTTTTGGGCTACATCTAAATTAAATGACGAGTAGTTATCAACACGTCGTGTTGGTGACAAAAGTTTAGATTAAAATTATCACCAAAATACGTAAATGCTTGCTGAGAACCGCGGTTCTTTTTTGAGCGATAAACATCAAAGCACATCGTGTTAGTTATATTTTATTGCTCTGTATAGACCCTCGAAAACTTTGCAAAATTATTTATAAAGCAAACACGTCTAACATATGGACGATCAAATTTAAAATCACTAGTAGTACTTGGTAATGGCGAGTAAATGGTAGCGTAGAAAAATCTTCAAATTTTAATTAGGTATCGACAAAATAGAAACAAAAACCAAAACTGGAAAGCTTCTTGGGTGGAATCGCGCCTTTACGCACACAATATCAGGGGTGGATGAGATTATTAACATAATTACTTACTCGTATATTGCAAATGGAGTTAAAATGGTTTATTCATGATATTTTAGACATTATTTATTAAACAATTTTGCCAATTACGATAATATCAATGATAGATAACTGATAAATTGCCTAAGCACTCTATTTACATATAATAAAATACTAGCATTTGCCCGCAGCTTCACTCCTGTAGATTTTAACCTCCGATGCAAAAAGAGGGATGTTATAAGTTTGAAGTCGATGTCTGTCTGTGTGTGTGTCTGTCTGTGGCATCGTAGCTCTCAAACGGATGGACCGACTTCGATGCGTTTTTTTTTTTCATTTTAAATCCAGTTTCCTTGCGGTGGTTCTTAACTATGTTTGGTTAATATCGGTCCAGCATTGTAAGAGTATCAACTCTTTACCAAAATGATGTAAGGCATTTTGGCGTAAGATTACTCGATTGGGTGCTTCACGCATGCCAGTTTAATCGTTAAATGACAACTAATTTGCGTAGGGGGTTTTTTAAATTTTTAAATCATAATTATAATTATTATATGTGGCAGAGGTGACCTTTAATAAGACAAAATATTCAACTTGGTATATGTATAATTAGAGATAATAAAAAATAATTTTATCATTGAAGAGAGATGAAAAATATTCAATTATTTACAGAGGATTTACGAACATCCAACATATACATACTAAATACATAAGTAAATTAAGAGTCTTGTTGAAAAGACGCGAAATCCCGCTTGTACAAGTATTCGCATGTAATAGACTTATTTATACAGAAACAAATAATATATCCGACATGGAACAGCTTATTACGTTTGTAAAAAATATTCCCAAGAGTCAGAGTCGCTGTGATAAACGTGGCAACAAAGCAGCTGTAAGTAACTATCTACTATTATATCTTTTACTTAACTTTTATACATATTATGCAAGTCACATTCGAATTTATTCTTTGATACATGTATAAAAAAATCTTTGAAATATAAACCAAATCTCTCCCACAGGTATCGGCAAACGTTAAGCTATTACGGTAATAGTAATTCAGCTCGTGAGCTACCAAATAAGCGTGGAGCGAGCAGCTTACGCCACTTTCGCAATATTTCCCGGAGCCACGAACACGATCCGTGATGATGTGCGAATTGCACGGTATCTATTTAACAGGTTTAAATTCCCAACATTCCCTCGTAGATAATAATATTATATTATGTATATACAATATACATATTGGAATCCTTAATACAAATGTACGTGATTATTAAATATTTAATAAATTACTCTTACGTGTGTATTCAGCCCTTTTTTTAATGTCCCACGTTACCACTTATATTTAAAGGCAGTGGTAGCCCATTGGTCGCACCTCTGATATGTTAATGTGCGAATCATTTCCAACATGATTACCAGTTGCCTTACGGTGAGTAAGTCCGCCAACCCGCACTTCGCCAGCGTGGTGGACTATGGCCTGATCCCCCTCTTATTGAAACGAGGCCCCTGCCCAGCAGTGGGACGTGAAAAGGGCTGAATACAAACCGACTTTACAGGAATTACTCTTATATATTTACTATTAATCTTTTAATGTGAATAAACTATAGAACAATAGAAATAAAACAGGTAATTTCAAATATTTTTTGACGTTGCTAAACTTTGAAGGTCGTTACTGGGCTTTGTGTAATCTTATTCTAATTATTTTTTTTTGTAGCGCATTAATTAAAAATGACTTAACGAATTTCTGCGGGACGTTTTTATTGTATTACCTACTTTATTATGTATTTATCCGCCAACAAGGTCTACTTGAGATACACCTTGTGAAAGCTTTATTGGGGATAAAACGGAGATCATGTTTCATAGTTATGGCCTAAACTAAAAGCAGATTCAATGATAAACCTAGTTTTTTAAACCAAATACCTGTATAATCATAAAACAATGTACTTTTAACGTTATAAAACTATAAAATAGCCTAAGCCTAAGCAAAGTTTACAAAGCATTAATTAGTAAGTAGCAACACAATTTTATTCATACGAGTTTCAATGCCGTATTAAATGCAACAGCGATTATTGGCATCGCAAATGTTATTATAAGTACTGAACATGTCATTAATAACACATGAGGCCTCGGTGGAAATGTTTTTATATGGTTTTAACCACTCCTTTCCTTTACGTATTATTCATTCATATGTAATTAAGTAAAGATACTGATAGGGTAGCGATCTCACACTGTTATTGATAGTATAATCTATATAAATAAATGGTTCAACAGTAATTTAAGGATTAAATTAATATTTTAATAAGTATAGCCTAACCCTTATTACGATCATAATGATACCTAGTATTATTTACGTATTTTAAAACTATGCAATTTTAAGATAGTGCTAAGGCGAATGTAACTAACTAGTAAAAGTATTAAAAATAATTAGGTATAAACATAATAAGAAAGTGCTTAATATCCGTACCTTGAATATTTTATAAAGTACTCAAAACTACTAATATAGTACTTACTTAAAAATATTATAATACAATAGAAAATAATTCCGTTTGCAGAATTGGGTATTTTAAACATAGAATCCGAGGCTGCGAGACCTAATCCCTTTGCGTACCTGCAACATAAAAAGAATGATAAAAACATATTCAAAACCGTTTTAGCAACTATTCGTATTTGTGAAATGCTTTGAGTTTAATATAAAAAAATAGGTACATATTTAAGAACATTTATTAATCCTGTACCTATTGTAAGTGGTTACATAGTTGTATAAAGCCTTCTCTAACGAAAATGTTTTTCTTAGGTTTAATTAAAATCGATAGTAGTAATTTTGGCTTGTGGGTTAAACTTTAAATTTTATTTTAGTTTCCCAACTTACTTAGATGTTAGAACTTTTGAACAACTGGCATATTCAGATAAATCACAAAATGCTTTGTATCCTGGCTTCGCCTCCACTGCTAGCCCCACATACAGTGCGTATGTGGACACCAGCACACCTAGTAGGCTCGTTGCTATAATTGCACGATTTAACCCGCTGACTTGCATGTTTCCTTGAAAAAAAATGAAAAAAAAAATAATATTATTAAAATCAATATAAATACAAAAAAAATATACGTCATAAATATACTCAATAACTAGCAAGATAACACTACGATGAATCGAAACTAGTAAAATAAAACAATTGTGTTACAGTTGTGTACCTATACGGTAGTAATTTAATTAAACAGCCACTATAGTGCTTTTATGCCAAGTCAGGTTCACTAGCTACTAGAAAACTTCCTACTAAAATATATAAACAATCAAAACGACGAGTGATTAAAACTATGAAAGACGAATATTAAAGCAGAGTTGTCTTAAAAGCGTATGACAATGAAATTAAAACTCCACTTCTCATAGCGCAGCTGTATATAAAGCTTTTGAATTAACGAGGCAAAAAACCACAATACTGGGAAGTCGATTAACATAATCTTACATTTTTTTAATGTAAATTAAACAATATCTTAACTTTGTGAATAAAATATATTTTGCAATTATATGAGTATTCAGTAAAGATAATAATGTTTCGGTGAAATGTCAATTTCATAGCAATGAATATGTTAATTTGTACCTACTTCAAAACCAATTCACGCGAACCCCTGTAAACCAATTTCTCCGTGCACTAGGGGAGGTTAATGTTGAAGACTTGCATAAAAACAAAATATTTAAGTAAGCGCTCAAATCAATTTACTCATTTCAGCGCCCCTAAATATAAATTGTATGTAGGCTATACACAATAAAAATATTATCAAGAACAAACATACTTATCTTTAACTACATATTAGCTACCTATTATTACTTTAAAGCAATTATTTTAAGCATCTTGTATTTTATTATATTAAAATATAATATTAAAAATAAAATGTATTCATTAAAATTATAACGTAATTTATTAATTTTCACTAAGAATGATATTAAAATTATCACCTATATCACAAGTTCACTTTGTCATATCACTCGCGCGACTGATATATGGATTGGACTTTGGAGGAACTCACATTCCTCTTATTTACATAACTCACACGCTTCGCTAATCATCAAATCGACACCATAACTTAAGACTAATAGCGTCGATAGAATTTAATACCCATACAAAGCCATTGTGATTTATGTGGTAATAACTCTAATATATTCTGATACATTATACATGACGTACATAAATAATTGATGTATTATTTTTAAATCAATTTTTAGGGGTTATAAACACTTATGATCTCTCCATGTCCACCTGACCATCTGTATGTCTAGTCGGTCTGTCCGTCAGTCCGTATATCACATCCGTATTACTCGATAACTATTGGCGTTACATTGCTGTTTTAGTGGTAGGTATATCATGCATATTATCGCAAAATAATTATGTAGTAAAATTACAAAAAATAAAGAAATAGCGGTGGCATACCGAGGTGTTCGAGGTCAAGTGACTTTTTTGTACACCAAATAATTGCAAAGTTTTTATATGCTGTTTTCAATTTTAAATTTGCATAGCACATACGTTTTATTGCCTTCGTGCAAAACCTATCAGAAGGTATATAATATACTAGCGACTTACCCTCGCTTCGCTCGGGTTCGTCCCTATAGGCTATAGTTACGTTTTAACAATTAGTGTGGAATATAGATAGTCGATCCCTTGCTCGGTGAAAAACAAAAGCAAACTATCCCACGGGAACCGTGCATTTTCCGGGATAAACCAGACTATTATTTATCTCTGTGCCAAATTTCATCCAGATCTGTTCAGCCCTTCTGGCGTGATCAATATTCATCCGTCCAAACTATCGCATTTATAATTTTTATGGGATAAAACGAAATGGAAACTTATTTTTTATATAGCACTCATATTTATTTTAAACTTATAACTATCCTAATTGCTAAAAACTAGCTAATTTACTAAGAAATATATCAATAGATAAAAGGATTTTAGTTTACTTTGCATTTAGTGTCGTGAAAAACCAGCCAATGAGTCAAACTAGCGAATTTCACTAATAATATTGACAAAGGTCATGTACACATTATTTATATAATAATTACATATTATAAAACAAATTCCTCGTATATCTGTTTGTCTGAACGCGATAAACTCAAAAACTGCCGAACAGATTTTTGTACGGTTGTCACTAATGGACGGAGTGATTCATAAGGAAGGTTTAGGTATATAATTCCAGTTTAGTTCCAGCGCGAAAATCTAAAATTCTTAAAAATTACTGAAGATTCGAATTTACGTTTCATATTTTATTTAAAAAAAGTTACAATAAAAACAATATATTATGGAATTATTCGCAACTAGGGACGCATCCGAGAGAAGCGAGGCTAAGTCGCTAGTTTATTAAATAAGTGACGCGGTGGTCCGCTATTGATAGCTTAATTTCATTTATTACATAATACAATATAGTTATACTACAGAAGATAATAAGGATATAAGAAATATGGTTAGACTACTAATTTCTAAGCATGATAAATTAAAAAAAATATTTGTTTGTAAATTAAAGTTGTTTATTTATATAAATTATTTTGAACATTTTTATAGACTTGACATTCAATAATTCTTAATCCGAACGCAACTATGATACGAAACGTCAAGACATAAAAACACGTACCAACTTCACACTCGTAGCCATTTCAAACAATGGACGTCACTTTTTGCTTAGCTTATTACAACTAGCGCGCTCTGTGAGCAATTTTAGAAAACTAATGACACAAACAATTTTTAAGTCTTAGCAAGAAATTTAAAAGTTGGATTTTTCTTATATATATAGAATTATTTTTTGTTATTATATTTAAAAATATAATTTTCTATGAAAGAAAAGTATTATAATGTTACCAACCAAGGACTATGTTGTATACTTCTGAGTAAAATAGGTCAGCAAGGCAATCTTATGTTTTACTGCGAAGAAAGAGACCGAACTACTAGTATGAAGAGTAAAACCGAGCGCCACATTGCCAATGACGCCCGATATCGCGGAATGTACATGTTTTTAAGTTGGCAGCACTGATTTAGTTTACCATCGCGACCGCAACGCAGCGTTAGCGTCGTGCAACACCTTTCATTGTATTGACTATTGACTGATTCTGAACACAGAGAATAATGTATAAAACTAATTTAACATTTAATTGTCTTATTTCTTATTGAAATATATTGTAATATATCTTAGTTTAAGTGTAATAATGCCTCCGTTTACGTAAAAGTGAAAGAAGACAGCCTGTCGAGTGCTACGCGGCCATTTTACTTGCAATGCGGCAACGGTGTACGATCCGCCATTGGAAACGGCTAGTGTCTTTTTCTGAGTGCACGATTTGTAATTTGTCGATTTGTTCGACATAGAAACAAAGGTTAACCATGTGTGTTAAAAGTGTAGTGCGGACTTTAGTGTAGTGAAGCACGGTGGTCGAGTGTTTCGAATAATGTGCGAACGATGGAAAACGAAGTGAAGCAGCGCAATCAGAGAAACAGGCGAAGGGAGCGGGCACAGCGCATGCAAGCACAGCGAGAGAGTAAAGTTAAGGATGGGGACAGCGGCGAGGACGAGTCTCCGGCGAGAGAAAAGCCACCTCGTCCTCCGGCCAGGAGAAAGAAGTCGAGGGAGCCTCTTGGAGAGGAGGACATCATTGATGGTTTCGCCATAATGGCATTTCGCACCTACGAAGACCTAGAGGTACGTTTCATTATCATAAATACTTAGTATGTTTAACCAATTTGACACAATAGAAACAATGATCAGTACTAAAACAATAATTCCAAATTCATTTTACTATATTTGTTAAATGCATGTAGTATAAATAATAGTAATGCATTAATTTATTATTATGATGTTAACCTCTACTGTGCTTTTTCATAAACACAATATGAACAAGACAACTAAAATGTAAATAATTATATATTACTCTATTATGATGTGGGTTATATACAATAATTATAAGCAAAAATAACCTTGACAAGATTTTGCTTTGAAAATGCTTTACTTAAAAAATATATACTATTTTTACCCATACAAAATATTATTTAATTCCCATTAAGAACTTGCTATAAAATCGCTTCAGATGTCTCGGAAGTGCGTTGACCTATTGAATGTATCCTTGGTTTTAGTATTTTACATAGGGATGAGTGCAATGTTAAAGAGAGTTATCTGTATTCATTTTAAATGATATTTGGTGATAGTAAGGATAGAGATATTTCAATATTTTTTATTATTTTCGTACACTATACATTGCAGTGGTGTATATATTATGTACCGAGCAGCTGACGGCTCGGCGACTGTCGGAACGAACGACTCTGCTCTCGACGTACGGAGTGCACCCGCGGTCTCCCACTAAGTGTAAATTTGGTCTAAGTGGCTTTCGCTCGTTTGTGCTCATTTGTCGTGCCGTCATCGAAACGACAATATGTTGTGTATTTTGAAGTCTCATATGTGTATAACAAAACTACATTTAGCGGTATCGTTCTAAATTATGTCGACAGACGTGCCGTTTGTGCCTCGTTGGAGTTGAGCTCGCTTATGTTATAAGCAGAAACAGGTTCCCCTGCTCCTATTTAATTCACCACATGCGGTGTGCAACGTTTATGCAATTTCTGCTTACAATGGCTATACGCTAATTTTCTACGTAAAACAGGTTTATGTTAAAATTACACCAACGAATCGACATATGGCTAATAAATGTGAGGTTTCTCTTCATACTTGAACAAAACCTATCAAGCAAAAAAAACGTAACGAATCGAATCTACACACTTCGCGCAAAATGGTACAGCTTTTTTGCCATTTTGCGATAATTCAGTTCATTTGACTTAGCTATATATTGCGAATTTACAGTAGCATTTATCATCAACATAATATTAATAGAAATCGTTACACAAGATTTGCCACTAACATATAGTCTTGTATTATGCTTTAAAATCATTTTGATCGTATCAACTTAGAAATTATTTTATCAATGACTACGCGTAGTTCATGTTGTTTTATCAGTATGATTATAATTTATAAAGTAAAATTGCTTAGCGATGAGGTTTTTCGTGATTTACTAACGCTATGCGGCACTACAAAAAAAACGAATTAAAAACTTTTTTATATGTAATATAAATTCCTGTTTTAAAAGTTTATATGGAAATTTTATTAGTACATATATTTAAATATACATTAATTCATATATCTATCAATTAATTTTATTTCAAAATACGTACTAAGTAAACTCATGAAAGCTCTGTTGAAAACAAGATCTAAGTTATATGAGCGTGACCGTGTCATTTGACGCCCGTAAGCGGTTAACTTCAAAGACAATAAGTACGTGGCTAATAATTATTTTCCCACGATACGCTCTCAGTGTCCAGTTTCGTAGCAGCAACTTCTTAAAGTAAACACAAAAAAAAACAAAGTATCATCCATTACTCATTTTTGAATTGAGCATTCAATTTATTGCTTACTTATTTAATATTTTTTCATAATTTATCAATATTTATTACTTATATTCAAGTAACATATAAATTGCAGTAAAAAATTTAAACATAAAGAAAGGAATTTCTTAAAATAGTACTATAATATGTATATAAAAATGCATTTTAATTATTATTAATAATAAGAAAAATATTGTAAATGAATTTATTCGTAATTGGTAATTTATTACTTATTAAAGTTACAAAAACCAATTTAGTATAATGTATATGAGCTTGGATTACGTTTACATATAATATATTATAGCTATTTATTATGTATGTAGCATTCTCTAGGATGTAGTTTTCTAATTGTTAATAATTTTGAACATTTATTATTTATCTTTAATACACCTATAGTAAGTAATAATTAATTACAGATCAAAAAGAGCAATTCAATTTTTTATGTTCCTAATCGAGGGTTAAAAATCTGGTACCTAACGTAGTTTATCGCTCTTTGTTTAAGAACATTTGCGGCGCTTTTAGCGAGCAGTATATCTAACGTTAAAGCTATTCCCGACTAGAGATGCCTGCAGCAAAAGCCCGTACTGGGTAATACCTGTGAAAACTGCGGTAGTGCGACTCGTAACAACTGTATACTAAGCTTCAGCTGTCAGTATATGCTTGAGCAAAATCAATATCTGTCGCTTTAGAAGACGAGCCACGATGGCTCGGAGTAGCAACCGAATGTCTAGGCGCCCCTAAACACCCCTGTGACCCATCCCCTTCTAGTATTCCCTTAAGAGCTTAATGTTAGCACGCCGTGACATAAATACTTACTGCTACCTGGGAAAACTTTAAACCAATCTCTTCCTTTTTTATTACCTCTCTTGTTAGTGTTATTTGAATTTAACTTTTTAGTGTGTTAAAAGTTCTTTTTTGTACGAAACGAAACGTTTAATAATTCATAATTAACATCTCGTAGCAAAAACTTGCATACTATTTTTAATTAAAGTAAATACCTGTTCCAATAAAATAAATTGAGAAAAATATTTTTATTAATTGAACGTTTTAATTATATTAAATTTATGTGAAAATATCGACATGTTAATATTATACAATTGAAATAAACCATACAACCATATGCCTTGGGGCGGCAACCACGCAAGGGAATGGTACCGTCATTTACTTTTAGATTATTGCAAAAAAAATGCTTTGTCCTTTGCACATAGGGGAAAGTTTGCAAGCCCGTACCTACTTTAACTTTAAATTCACGAGTCGTTTGACTTTGGCAATAACTATGCAAATTTCTGTCTTTAGCAGAATATTATTTTTACACGTCATTTAATTCGTGTTAGTTGGAAAAAACATGAACGACTGATATTGTTTTAGAATTACAGTTCAACAATCGTATATTTTATATAGGTATCTTTAAATATATGTATGTACTAGCAATCCCCCGGCTCTGCCCGCGTTCATATGACCAAAAACTAAATTATTAGTACATTAGTATACTCTTAAAATGCAGTTTTTGTATTTTTTCTCGGAAATGATATATTTTCCCGCGGTAAAAAGTATCCTATATGTTAATCCGGATAACCAGCTATCACCATAGCAAATTTCATTAAAATCCCTCCAGTGGTTTTTCCGTGATGCGGTAACAGACAGACAGACAAACAAAAATTCTAAAAACTATAGATTCCGCCTCTGTATCGATAATAATGTCTATTTCAATAAGATTTTCCAAAAAATATTGAAGGTACAGAATCGGCTTATTAGTTACAATTTTATATGTATAGATGTAATAAAACTGACAAGTGAAAGTTGATAGTTGTTAGTTAGTTTTTTTTTTTATATTTTTAATGTTTGTTTGGTAATAATTTAAGCAGTATAAATCAATTAAGCAATTTGCATTTTAATTCAACTTAGCTAACTAATATCCTCAATAACATTAAGACCAGTTGAGTCATAAAATAATTTACCCAAATATCTAAGATAAATCTGCTCTACAATACTATAAAGCTTTATAAATATTGATATCCCATAATATATGTTCTTGAATTAAAATATAATAAATAATAATCTTTAACATTGTATAGTGAACACACACGTGTCTCCAGCACGTGTGTTTGTGTCACGCATTCAAAGTACATACATAATTAAATGAAAGTAAATATTTTCATCATTTTCAAAAGTCGTTTAATCGACTCTTAATATTCTTAAACATTGGTACATAGTACATACTACTTACCCATAGTACCTATAATAATTATTATTCATTGGCGAACAATAAATATATTTTCGCTAACCAAACTTATATGAATGTATCCCATTGCATTGCTATGATACAAATACAGTTATAGGAGAAATACAATCTGTGCAAAGTTAGTTTAAGTGCAAATATAAAGATAAACGGTTCACTTACAAATTACATAATTTCATACATACATATGTATATATGTTTTTCTACAGAATGATGCTTGTTACTCTAGTGTGAAAGCGTTATTTTAACAGAACCATTATCGCGGCAGCGCGTACTACTTAATATAATTAGCTTCTTAGGTGTACGTTGCCATTCTAACATGAAAGTTAATAATAATCATTGTTTTTCTTAAAGCAGGTACGTACCTACCGTAGCATAACGTACTTGTGTAACATGGATTGAAACAAATACTATTAATGTGCCGTAAACTAGAATACAACATAACATACATACATAGAAAACATACATAGTTGAAAATATTCAAACGTCAACTTAACATTATTTGTTCATTGATTATCCACCGTGAAGTGAGTATTAGCACACATTAGCGTTCATTATATAAACACTTGTAATATATCGTCTTCAATACGTCAGGCAGAGTAAATGTTTATGATAGTTGTGGTTATACGACGCGCTCGGCCGATCGCGTACCCTTTTGACTTGGTGACAATACAAATCGCTGTTGATTGATGATCCGGAAATACACTTGGCAAAGTATGCAGGAGAGATTATGTTGGTCTATCAATATTTTCATCAACGTTAATGACTACATAAATTAAATTACTATATGTTAAGAGAAACGGCTTCCGTTTTGCTATGTTACTGGTAACATAATACCTACATAATATGCAGCCTTAATCTAGGATTTACATTTTGATCAGCAATTATTTAACATTTCGCTTTCTATACATTATAATGAAACGCCATGTTATTGATATCTTTAACGTATCAATATCGGGCTACTATTATAAATGCGAAAGTCTTAATGTGTGTGTATGTGTGAGTACATCACGCTGAAATACCTTGATGGA